AACACTATAAATATATATATATATATATATATATATATATATATATATATATATATATATATATATATATATATATATATGTTGAGTTGTGTAATTGTACACTCCGTAATACATAACACTCACAGAACACTCGCATAACACTCGCAGAACTACTATTGTTTGATGTTGAATTAATATAAACGAGTATGTTTATGACATTCAGTATATATTTCATAATTTCCAGTCTTAAATCCGTCTGACCGTGTAGCTCAGTTGAGCGTCGATCTAGTAATTCGAAGGTCGCGGGTTCAAGACCCAGCCGCGGCAGACTTTATCTTTCTGCTTACACTGGGTATGGAAATTATATAATACACACTCTATATATATATATATATATATATATATATATATATATATATATATATATATATATATATATATATATATATATATATCCGCCATTTTGTAACTGAAATGCACATGTCACTGGAGCACTCTGCCTTGGAGTTTGGAATTGTGTGCGCGCGCACAAGTGTATGGACTAATAAACGAAAAATGTACCACAAGCACGGCATGAGCCGGCTATTACGTACATAAATACAAGCTTGTTACTATAGTATTTGAATCGTGGAGCCGAGGAATCGATGGTATTTTGGCTTAAACGTTGTACCCTGAGCCTGCGATGCGCTAACGCAAACTCGATTTCTCGACTACGAAAAAACCCCAGGAAAATCCGAAAATTAGGGATTTAAAACACTTAGCCCTACAGCCAGTGTAAAAAGGTTTATTGAACACAAAATGAACCAAACATTGGAAATAAATTAACGTTTCTTACACGCAAAAATAAATCAAAATTTGAGATTTAACTAACATAACAATTTCACACACCAGAAACAAAATATAGTAATTATCTTTTCTCCCAAAATTAATTTCAGCCAAGATGATCACTGGTGTCTCATTGAATACTTCAAGACTTTCAGATTTATGAAATATAAGCAATGGAGCAATTAAATCTTAAAAATATCGGCGAAGCTTATGCTAGATTTAGACCAGCCTCGTTTTGGTGGATTTTGCTTAATTCAAAGGCCTATAATTTCGCTTGAACGGATTATTTCGATCTGAAATCATTATACTTTGCTTTAATACACGGTCTTTGTTGAAAAAATGTTCTATTAGTATGGTAACGTACAAAATATAAAATAATATAAAAAGTCGTTCCGTCTACCTTTGAGTAGGCCATTATATACATCCAAGTCAATATTATAATACATCCTGTTGAAATTTAGACCTGGATTTTGACAACCTTATTTTACACCAGAAAAAAACCCCCCGAAAAGCCCAAACTCTTGTCCATTTGCACAAGAGTAAAGATGGCAGAGACTGGTATCTGTGATAGATATTATATAGATATAGAGCGTATGAAAAATGGCTGAATTTGATTGGAATCACATTAAGGCCGATAAAGTGCTTATGCAAACCAAATAATTTTTCACTGGAGGAAGGGGTGGGGGCAGACAAAGACAGAATAATTTCTTAAAATTAGGAAAAATTCTGGCTACAAAATTGCTTGCAAAAGGCAGACGACATATGGAAATGATTTATAACTTTAACTAATTAACTTTAAATATTGTATTGTAACTTTAACTATGACTTTTTATCTCGATCTCAGATTGATTTTGCGCGTGTAATTTTATGATTGAGTTGTCTATCTTAGCTTGTGTCATTCTTCAGATGTTTATATGCAGATTATTCTCACTATTGTTTTTAAATAATGCAATTCAGAGTTTAGAATAAAATCTTTTTATTAGGGATGTGATTTGGCTAGAGTTTCCAACCAAGATGAAGTGGTTGTATGTATTCTTATTTACGACTGCAATTACATTGGTATGGGGAAAGCCAAAGTGCAATGTTACCGAAGAAATTATTGAAAGTATGTATTTGAAATATATTTTATAGCTTTGCTGTGCAGTTTTCAGAACGAAAATAATGTTATCACTGGTATTATTGTTTAGAATTGCTTGGAAGTGTTGTTGTGCTTTCTCGGATTTAAACAGCTTTTGAGGCATGCATATACGGTATTCTTGCTGAAATTAGACCCAAAGTGCGATATTTTTCGCCTCTGGTACAGAGAACAACGACAAAGTCATTAATTATTTCAATATTGTGTCCACAATTTTGAAACCGTTCGTCTATGCATGCTCTTGAACATATCGAACTAGCGATAAAGTTATCTCGACAATTTTATTCCCCGAAGGCGAAGCAAGGAAAGGGTTCGATAATTTCAGGTAGTAATTCGTATATAACATATCGTCTATAATTTCTATTTCAAAAGAGAAATTAGACGATATGTCATATACGAACTGCTTCAAATTACATTATCACGCTAGAGACAAAGAAATTTCATTTGTTTCATTTACTTTAGTGTTAATTTGTATTGACGAGGTTCACATTTGACTTCCACTACCGCCCCCACTGCCTTGGTTAACATCAGGTACGCATCTGATTGGTACGCATCTGATTGGTTAATTGGAGATATCAAACGTACCTGATTGGTTAATGGTCCCTTAATGGCAGCGGTGGCTGCAATGGAAGTCAAATCTGAACCTTGCTATTATTAGAATTAAGTAGCAAATTTGGAAAATAACATTTCACTGTCAGAACGTGGAGGTAGCTGTAGTCATAAAATTATAATTGGGGATAATTTTGAAACGTGTTTATTTTTCACATTTATGTACAGGACCAACATGTATGGATCTGTCAAACCCAATAACATGTGCAGCATGGAAAAAGCATAATTGGTGCTATGAACAGGATGTTCGCAGACATTGCAGGAAAACATGCGGCCTTTGTGAAAGTATACCATAGATTCTCGTTTTGATAATCTTCAATATTCTTACATGACATTATTTGCTACTTTGAATGAAGATCATAATGCAAAAAATAGAGAAAAATCAACAGGTCATAAACTGAGAGTGGGAATGAAATAAAGTCTCGCAGAGTCTCGCCTCCGAACCTTCAGTATTGCATATTAACACCATTCCAATGTTTTAAATATACCACTGCATGACAAGAGGCGCTCATTCCTGGTCACTCATGGTCATTTGTGGTCACTCGTGTGTGCTTTTAGACAAGATCCTTTGAATAGGGGCGGGGGTGAAAGTAAATTCTGCCGAGTTAATAGTTGAAGACAAATTTTTGCCTAGTTATATATTGCAGCCACTAATTAATATTTTTCCCTAAAATTGTTGGCAAGCGGAGGGCGGGGGCGGACTAATTTTGTGTTCAACCATTGTTCTACGTTCCATTTGTACCTAATTTTTTCGTAAATTTCTCCACATTTTAGTTACCTGCATCATTCTTAATTTTTAATCGGTGTCACTCAAATATTTTATTATTTTCTTCCTATCCAAATCCTTTTTTTCCGAATGGGATTCAAAATATTGCCGCTTACCGGCTGACTGAAGGGAGGGGATATTATACCCCACTGACACCAGTTCCTCTGTGTCCTAATAATAGTTTAAATTCGTGGATTTATGATGATTTATTATTTTGCTTCACATTTTCTTAGGTTTTGTCGAACATTTACAAAACTGTCTGGTAAAGATCCCCATGTGCTAGTTAGAAATGACAGTAGTATCATATAGGCCTGGGGCCCGTTCGAACCGGATTTGCGAGAGTGAATGAGAGTGAGCAAATTGAATGATCAGTATATGAGAGTGAACGAATTAGACGACTGCCCATGGGGTTCCCATGGGGGGCTTAAACACTACTTTACATAAAGCAAAGAGATATCAACGATTGTAGACAATAATTGTGAATAGGATTGCGGATAGCATTTTGCAAATAGGCTGGAACTTGATCCAAAATATGTAAAGAAAGCAAATCAAAGAAAAAGGCAGTTTTTTCTTGCGATGTCTAAGTAAAATCAAAGTGTAGGTATATTTGGTAAGTATAGCAGTGCTTCTTCGAGGAATTCTTCCTCCACAAAAATATATTCTGTTTTCGCGTTAATATATTCTGAAAAACAAAGCGATAATATTTTCCCCGAGCCGACGGCGCGAAACGCCGTGCGAGGGTACTAATTCCCCCGGCTATTTACACCCGGGGAAACGAAAGCACTGATTGGTCCAATTTAAAATTTGCATTATAACGACTGCATGACGACAGCGAAATAGCACACATTTCTTGGTTTGATGACTTCTTGCAAATATATTTCATTTTTGCAAGATTTTGTAAATTTCAAAAGCTTTTTGATGAAATAAAGGCGAAAGAATTGCTAAAAGAAGGGATTAAATTCACTGCATTCCAACCTGTCACGGTCAATCACGTCTATCAACTTCTGACTGGTCCCTCAAGCAACTCGCCCGGGCGGCTCGTCCAAACATCACTCGTACTATTAATCCCTAATTGTACGAGCAACATCGCATGACTACTTGTTTATTATTAGCATGTCAAAATTGGATACGTACTTCTCAATGTCAGTATCATATTCTCTCGCCAAAGCCCAGTCCTGCCAGACTTTCAACCAAAATTTGGTGCTTTTGTTTGTATTTCCATTTAGTTCTTTTGTTCAAGCAAAATTTGGTGCTTTTGTTCGTCTTTTCGTCTAGTTCCTTCACGGAAATTTCATTTCACATCTGTGTTTAAAATACCTTTCCGCCATTTTGTTTGTTTTGGGAAAATCATTAACTGTACTGCAGTACAATTAATGAAATAATTGTACTCCTCTCAACCAATCAGCATCCAATAATTTTGTCATGCTAATAATAAGCAAAGTTATTTGCATGCGAGAATTTGGAATCATTTTATTTCGAACGCAAAGTTTATCGATAGAGGCAGTTTAGTTCTATATAAATACTATATTAAAAAAGCACTTTAAAACGTTTTGCGAAGCGTTTGTAGTTGAATTTTAATAACATACCTAACATATATATTTTTGGGAAATTTATAATTTTGTAATTATAAGTGATATTTTTAGGGGATTTTTCATTTGTAAAAATATTCTTAAAAAATTATCATGTTACCATGACAACTACTTTAAATAGTTCACGTTCGGAAAATACAATGGTTTTGTCAGCGAGGCGGGGGTTTCTGCATGCATGTATTTTCTCGTAATATATATATATATATATATATATATATATATATATATATATATATATATATATATATATATATATATATATATATATATATATATATACAGGGTGTATAAAAAAAAGCGCAATCCTCGACTGAAATGTAAATTGCTAAACAAATAATGGACGAAAACGTTAAAGTTTGCATTCATTTTAAAGCGTAGCCATTCAGCTTTCTAACAGTGGGTTGTTTCTTAAATTTGACTCATTGGTTCGTGGGTAATAATACTTTACGTTATTGCGATTGGAGATTAAAAAAATTGAGATGGAATAACAAATCGTTCTCATGAAAATAACTGATTTTTTCATTAAAACAAAAAATGTTGCATTTTATTAAATGGATTGTAACAATAAGTATAATTACGGCTTTTCTTCCACTATTTTTAACTCAGTTTAAAACTTCAAATGCGATATAATTTTGGCTTGGACCATCTAAGCTGACTGACATCAACTTGCTATAATTTCTGTTTACATTACATCGCAATTCGATGACACTCTGGCTCAGACACCAGAATGTTTTCACGATTTTTAGCATTCGTTTAGGATTTTCAAACAACCTGGTCTTTTTAAAATACTTTTAATTTGTTCTTCGTGGTTTTCCAGATGTAGTGACGACAACATTAAAGTTTAAAGAAGAAAATTCTAACATTTAAACCGACTAAACAATAACATAGTAAACTTGCATAATTAAACAGCAACTAAAAATGATAGGTTTTACTAAATCTTTTCCTGTGCAATTATTACTAGCATTGGAGACAAGGATAATAGTTTGTTTGAAAGAAAAAAGAACAGGCTTTGAAGTAAGCCAAAAAGCGTTTAACTATAGAGATAGTATTTCGAAAGTTAGTAAGCACAAAAGATGAATTGCGTTTATTTTGATACACCCTGTATATATATATATATATATATATATATATATATATATATATATATATATATATATATATATATATATATATATATATATATATATATATATATATAAGCGTTTGGGGAGGTTAACGATACCCTAGGGCATCGCTAACGTGAACTACGTGTAACTGCAATTTACGCTCAACTGTGTGGTTAAAGTTATCCTCTATTTAACTGCTAAAGAGGCAGTAAAAAAGTAATTAAGAATTTTGTACAATCGTCCCCAGTCATTTTATCGTCTCACCTCCGAGCAGCAGCTTTTCCCTTTCCTTTGTTTAGCATATCATATTATCATTTAGAAATATTTATGCAGATCTTTACTTTTAACATCTCCCCTGGATCTACCCCCTGCTATCTTTACAAAATATTTAACACTCATTAGACTTTTTCATGTTTCATCTCTTTTTATACACAATTAACTGACATATTTTTTGAGGAGAAGAGGAGTTTTTGGGCCTCGGTCAGATTCCTATCTTTTACGGATTCCTGTTTTGTTTAGATAATTATGCCCTCTTCATTTTTTTTTATTGTTATAGAATGTTATTCAGAAAACCTCTTTCAAGAAACCAGTCTGTGTAATATTTAAAAATATTTTGATAATTTCAGATATTGACGAGTGTTCTCTGGGAATCCACAAATGTCATGCTCAAGCAAGTTGTATCAACATTAATGGGTCATATCGTTGTGAATGTCTCGTTGGGTATTCTGGTGATGGAAGGATGTGTAAAGGTAAGTACATATAAGTAAGTCAATCACCCAATAACATGCGTGAAGTTTGTTTTTTTCAAGCTTCCCCATGTATATTACTAGGGACACTTCACGTCTCTAAGTCATATATTCTCACTGAGCAAGCTGTCGGCATTCGGCTGCAACATGTGGGAAACGTCCACCTCCTCTCAAAACGCGCATTCTGTACCTTTTCCAAGATTTTGTTTTTGTCAATAACGTACATTTCTCATATCATTCTTTCAGTTTTCTTTTATAATTTAACCCTGATCCCAATACATGTCAACTCATTTAACATCTGGTATCTGATGTGCAATTGAAAAGTATACAAAAAATTGTAATACAAACATCCATAACGTCACATTAATTCAGAAAAAGTACACAGGGAAAATTTTATCATCATAGTTGGAAAAATTAATCCGTGCTCACTAAATTTCTTTTTTTGAAAGA